CTTGGATAGGCAAAAATTGTTAAAAAAACGAATATAAAAAATAGGATAAATATGTTTGCAATAAAATTAAACAAAACGTATCTAAATGAGGTAAAAAAATTAGGAAAAAATGGGTTTTGAAAATATGAATTTGTGTGGGGGTATTTTAGAAATAATTCAAGAAAAAGGGAAAATGTAAAAAAAATTATTCGTGGCGAAAACCAATTTTTTCCAAAATAATAGAAAATATTATAATTAAATTTCTTATTTTTGGATTTTTTATAATCCTTCATGTTTTTTTTTTTTTAAGATCCGCTAGTCAGACCACCAAAGTTGGGGATACTCGGACCTGCCAGGTGGTGAGTCTGAATTGTTTCGCCCGAGTTTTTACACACTAATTCTAGGTCAACTACAGTATATAAACTCCTTGTTGAGGAGTCATTCTCATTTAGCAGAGAAACCTGAGCTAGTAAGGTCCCTAAGTTCTTGCTTCTATTTCGAACTTGTAAAATGTTGGCTTTCTTTTGCAAAGACATGTTTGCTCATATTTACAAAAGTGAGGTTTACAGCCCCTCATAAGCTTTTTAGATCAAGTTCTTCCCATACAAAAGGCTAAGAATCTTGGTCTTGCCAATATTAGATATAATGGTCCCTAGACCTAGACTTCATACCAACCAGAACTCAGTTGGTTCATATAAAAAAGGACAATGAAGTGATGTCCCTTTAGTTCAATGGGAACAGTTCTGGTTGGCCAAAAATGGAAATGATGGTCCATAGTAGCTACCACTCAATTGGTGCATACTAGCTCAATGGAGAGATCAATGTTTTAACCTGGTGATTTCCATTCTGAACTGCCGATCTGGATGGAAATCGGTAACGACCTAACTGATTTTGAGATGGTATGGGTCCTGTCCCAGTTCCCCCCTTAAACGTCTTTTTTATATATTTTTCTTCTTTTTTAAACTTATCTAATTTTTTTAAAGCCCCCTTAAATCCCCACCCCATAAATCCCTATTTAATTTTAATTTATTTATTTGGATCACCGATTTGAACTAATCTAGGCCTTAATTAGTTCGCCAATCCAACGTCTCGACACGGATCCATGGGTGAACAATTTGCCCCAACGATCTGGGATTTAAAACTTTCGGGACAAAGTAATCCATATACGAAAGGGAGTGAAAAAGATTGTACAATAATCGCTACCGATGTAACCATGCAAAATGAGTAATTACTATAGTAACAAACTGACTACAAGTGAACAATCAAATTGAGTTGTATTTGATGGGACAGAAAGGTTGAATAAGTGTACCCCATGGCTTGGCCCGTGAGAGAAATTGTACACTGGCAAGGTGCAAATGTAGGGTCACTAAGGCCACAAGAATTAAATTGAATTTGCAAGTAAAGGAAGGCCATTTTTGTGTACCTCATTTGTACCAAATGTTTGTAGGAAGGTGCAAACAAGCATTAATGTTAGTTTTTAGGTGAAGGAATGCTCTTGTGCACCAAACATTGAGGGAAGGGCAAGGTTTTGTACAATGTTGGTACTTGAGATAGAAATAGTGAAGAACTTAGAGGTGAAACGCCCATGTGATCCTCAATTTTCTCTACATTTGATGAATTGAAATGCCCCAAGACCTTTCCTTTCCTCTGTAGTTTGACCATTGTCCCATAATGGTGGATGTATTTTCATTTGTGGGACTGCTTTCCCTTTTGCTTGAATGGATGGTCTAAACTGATTCTCACATCAAGGAGCCAAGAATAAATAGAGGGAAAGTATATAATGAGACTATTTACCTTTGGTAGAAGTTGGTCACAATTAATCTTGACCATTAGATGTGAAATTGGGTGGTTGCATTTATTTCATTCACCAAACTCAAAATTCAAAAGAAATTTTTTTGAAACTTTGTGATACGCCCAACCTATAAGATTTCACATAAAATGGTTATAAATAATTGTGCCTCTCCATACCTAAAGTAAATTGTTTCATTGCATATACGAATAATTATTTCATGCGGGCTGGACCGCATTTGTAAAATAAAAGGTCTAGAGGTATAAAGCATCCATCTTAAAGATGGATGCAAATAGGTGGTCCATCTAAAAGTAGTTGTAACTACTCCAAATGTTTTCTTAGTATAATTATTATTTCTAGTTTTCAAAATTATTTACTTTTTCATATTCATGATCTCCATGTTAAATATTACATATTATCTAAAAATTAGGACCAATTATATTTGAAAAATATATTTATTGCTAAGCCCGCATTTGTACATGTGCGGGCTGGGCACATGCTAATCATGTCCTTGCATACAATCCCATAAATAAATGGTAGATTCAACTTTGCAATGTATCACTAGAAACCCAAACCATTGATTCCCCTCGCTAGCATGCTATGGACTTATCCAAATTAAGTGGGGGTATTATTATTGATTTCAATTTTTAATGTTCGAAAAATGGTCGATCCGGATTGAGAATTATCTATCTGGATCTAGAATCATTGGTCACCAATCTGATTCCCGGACTGAAACAATAAGTTGGCCCTATATATGCAATTTACATGTGAAATGACTTAAATCCATTAGAAATCTATTTTTAATTTTCTTAAATCATCAAAGATCATCATCATCATCATTAGCATTAGCATCATCCAAACCTTATCCTAACTATTTGGGATTGGCTATATGAATCTTGCTATGCCATTTTGCTCTATGGCCATACCCCAGTCAGATCATAAGTCATCATATCTCTTCTCACTACTTTCATCCATATCCTTTTGGGCATTCCCCTTGTCCTTTCAGAGCTTTTTACTTGAATCAAATCGCCCTTCCTAACTAGTGTTATTTTAGATCGATCCCGCACATGGCTAACTCACCTAAGTCCATTTGCCATCATCTTATTTCCTATTGAAGCCATCCTCTAGTTTCCCTAAATGTACTATCCTTTCTTGTCTTGCCACTCATCTATCTCACCATCGTCATCTCAGCTACATTTATTCTATAGATAATGTTGTTTATTGACCACCCAAGTTGTGTCTCATAAAGCATGGTTGGGCTTACAACCGTTCCATAAAAGTTTCTTTCAATTTTATTGGTATGCAATAGTCACATAAAACTCTAAAAGTACATATCTAATTTACCTATCCAACTCTAATTCTATATGCGATATCTTCATCAATCTTTCCAATCTCATGAACTCAAGTCATCAAATATACAAATAAAAAATGTCTTTGCTTCATTATTGTTTTTTCTTTATTTTATTTGTGTTTTTCTTTAATTCGCCGGTCTATTGGTATAACTGGATCTCCCATCTGGCTAATCTAAATTGGAATATGTGGGTGGGTGATTCACCTCACCGATCGTGTAAAAACAAAACTTACAAAAATCACACAGCCCTAGTTGCCCATCCTCTATAATCTTTAAGATCCCTTAACTTTGTCCAATCAAGGACTTTGGTGCGTTAGCCAGCCCATTCAAGTGCAGCATGCTTTCAAAATCTAATTTAGGGATATTTTGGATTTAAAATTTAAAAGGTTGATATCTCAATAACTATCGAAAATCTAAAAAATTTAAATATTAAAAATAAATAATATTAAATTTCATTCTTAAAGTATTTATTTTAAAATAATCTATTTTTAAAGTCTAATTTTTTTTAACTCTGGGTGTGGCTTATATAGAACTGAGGCTCTAAATAATCAAACTAAAGCACACCATCAAATAGTGATGAGAAATGTGGTTTCGATACTGAAAATCTTTGTGAAAGCCTTAAAATATACTTTCATCTTTAATTAGAAAAATTTAAAGTTCAAAAAATAGTGTAGATTGAGCAGATCTATGAAAACTTGAAAATCTTGAAGTCCAAAAATGCGTTACAAGATGCACTATTTATAAAAACTTGAAACCCATTTTTTTTTCTCATGTCTATGCATCTTGATGTCGTGATGATCAATTTGAGGATATTTGGGCATCAAAACAATCTCTTCTAGTGAAATTTTTGAGGTAGACTCTAATTTGATTGTTTAGAGCCTTGGCTTTATATAAACTTTTTATTTTAATTATTATGAGGATCACGATACATTGGTCTCCAAAATTAGATATTTTCAAGGGAACACATATGGACATTTTGTTTTTTTTTGAGTAGTTTAGTGATAGGAATCCAACTTGAGAAGCAGCGTTGCTTGAATGCATTTGAAAACAAATGCATCATAACTCTTTTCACTAATAAATAACAACTCATCTTCACTTTATCACCATCATCCAAGCCTTACCCTAATATTGGGGTCGGCTGCATGAATTCTATTCATCAATATAGCATTAAAATTCATAATAAGATACAAATTCATGATAAGATACGGCAAAGTTTTATTTTGGCTGCTTATCTAAAGTAACCCAACTCTTTTACCTAGGCTACAACTTAAGGAAAAATTTAAGATCCTCGACTTGATTAGAGCAAATGTTGTTCTTCACTGGAAAGTTTATCATAAAATTCAGTGGTCCAAACAATCACCCTAAAGTCTAAAGAAGTAAACCCATCTGCACTCAAATCTTGACTTAGCTAGAAAGGGGGGTGTAAAAATGACAGAAATTGCCACAATCATTATCCTACTGCCAAAAGAAAACCAACAATGCCCAAAATGACTATCATACCCCTGAAGGAAAATACATGAAATACTAGCTAAAAAAATGAAAAAGTGGGGGAGCAAATCAACAGTAAGCAGTACAGCACAAAGGACCATGGGCAGGTACGGGAGGGTCACATGGAAGATATTTCGTAAAATTGCCACCTCTCGGACGGTTCAAGAGGGTAAATTGGGATATATATGAGGGGTATTTTGGTCTGACAAAGAAAGTGACGGGCTTTCTTTTGTGGTTGGTTGAATGTGCACAAAGGCCCACTATGTCCTTCAAACCGGCAACACAAGAACTCTGCACCCCTCTGCAACTGGCCCCCACTCGACCCTCTATCACTTCCATAAATACCCCCCACAACCTTTTCTCTCTCTAACATCCACTCTTCCCTTTCTCTCTCTTTCCTCATCCTCCTGCCTCTCGCCTTTGCCTTTGCCTTTGCCTCTGCCTCTGCTGCTTCTCTCTCACTCTACTCTGAAACTTGCCTATTTTCCTCATATCTCTTTACTGCTCTTTCTCTCTAAGCTTTTTCTATATCTTTTGCCTCATTCCTGCTGTTTCTCTCTAAGCTTTTTCCATATCTTTTGACTTCTGTATTTTGATAATCTTGTGTTTCTTTGAAATTTCCTATGTTTTAGTTCTGTGTAGTTTCCGCCCTCTCTGTCTTCACTCACCATTTTCATTGTTTTCGTTCTTTCTCGTTTTTCTTGTGTCCTTCTAGTTTCTCTCCCTCTAACTCTGGAACTACCCATCTTTGTAGTTTTTCTAATTGGGTCGGTCATCATATTTGGCAATGGCGGTGAGGAAAGGGACCAAGCTTCCACAAACTGCCGGCCTCAAACAGATCCTGAAACGGTGCTCGTCGAGCTTGGGGAGGAAACAGAGGCCTGATTCTGATGAAAGTTCGGGAGAATTTGGTTTTTATGGCGATGTTCCAAAGGGACATTTCCCGGTTTATGTCGGAGAGAAGCGCATTCGCTTCGTGGTTCCTATTTCTTGCTTAAATGATCCTCAGTTTCAGTCACTCTTGCAGAGAGCAGAAGAAGAATTCGGATTCGATCATGATATGGGAATCACCATTCCTTGTGAGGAAATGGTTTTTCGTTCTCTGACCTCTTCCATCCTCAGATGAGAGAAAAAGCGAAAGAGAGAGACTAATTGCTCGTGTGATTTTGGCTGGAGGCCCCCCATTGTATGAGGGCAGGTAGTAGCCACTGTACATTTTTATTGCAGCTTGAGATGGTGCGATGCACTCCTCCTTGAAAAAATATTGGATCAAGGAGTTTTTCCTCAAGATTTTTGTAATATATTTCCATTCCTGGAATTTTCTCTCTCTAACTTTATGTGAATGTATATAATTTTGTGAATCTATGGAATTCTCTCTCTAAATTTTGTGAATCTATGTATGTGACAACCATCATCTTTATACAAATTTTTTTTTTTTTTATGGATATTGGATTAGGAAGATCAAAACCTCAAATATTTTGTATGTGCCAACCATCTGAGTTATACAAATATTTTTTTTTTTTGATGGATATTGGATTAGGAAGATCAAAACCTCAAATATTGTGCCATCCAACTGTCCATGAAAAAAACAAATTTATGTTATTTTATATTATTGTTTATTCCTTTGTTTTTTGATAAAGGAGACCATAGTTAAACCTTCCTTTTAGCAGATAATATTAAAAATTTGGTATTTTCAAGTAATATAATAAAAAGGCCAACAATACTAAGAAGAAAGTTCAAAGGGAAAACAAAGTACTAGGAAGGCTTAACCATCTAAATAAACAAATACAGGAAGATGGATAACTTTACGTGAGGCCTCATGTCCGTACCCTTTTCTTTTGTAAATCGTAATAAACTAAGCCAGATCGTACACCATGATCCTAAGGGTGCATAATGTATAGTTACTCGCTATGAGAAGGAGCAACTTAGTAGTACGGTCTCTATTTAACTTTTTGTATAATCACCGTATGATTATTTTCAATAGAGATTGTATACAATGAGACTATTAACCATCCGATGTAAAATTTGATAGCCTGGGTATGTTACAAAGTTTGAGAAAATTTCTTTTGAACTTTGAGTTTGGTCAATAAAATAAATGTAGCCACTCGATTTCACATCTAATCATCAAGATTAATTATGACCACTTTGTACCAAAAATAAATGATCTCATTTTATGTATTTTATTTTTGATAATTAAACTTTATATAAAATGTGTGTTTTGGTAAATTTTTGAGTACCGAAAGACCCAAGTTCCAACGAAAACACTCCCATGTTTGTTGCACCTAGGGGATGCCTCAAAATGGAAGCATGGAGTTCCAATGGTTTTGGTTATTTCTAACGTCAAATAGGTATCTTTTCGGAAATTATACCTTCTATTTTAAGAGATAGACCCCAAATTTTGAGTGTTTATATTTAGTTGTGAGAAATCATTTTCACTCTTATGACGTTAGTTTTTTCAGGTGAGTCGGAAGAGGTTACATCCCCAAATTTTGAAATCCTTGAAACACTCCTAAATTCGTTTACCCAAAAAGGTAAAGAGTAAAAAATCTTTTCACCGGACCAACTTGCAACCACCAAGGGTAAAAATATAAATATTTCCTGAGTTAAATAATGGTGAAAGAAACATACGCATGGTGGGTGCACTTCTCTTGTTTGGCATTCCCCATTATTAATAATACACGCATATATTGTGCTCCTTGGAAGTATATACCATGAAATCTACTCCCTGGGTCAAAACACCTAGCCATTTTGATCTTTTAATCTAAAATTTTGGAACCACATAACAATTACTAGTAGATGATTATTTTTAAAATAAAAAATTTAATGAGTTTTGACACTTAGATAATGGGCTTTAAAAAAATTGGAAGGCATTGATTTTTTTAGTACATAGAGAGTTTCTTTACAAATTTTATTTTTCTTGGATTATTCAACGGGTTGCAAAGATTATATTTATAAATTTTAAAATCTAAAAAAGATTCTTAGGATGTATTTTTTCCGAGGGAGTAAATAGATAGAATACATCCGCAGAACTAAGAAATCTTTTGGCAGTAATGAATGTGGGACTTATTCAATGCATGGAAAGAGCATCTTTCACACCCCACACCCCCAAAAGGCACCAAAATTTTGAGAAGGAGAAGGATGGATCCCCTTTGCTTAAACCCCCTAAAATTAGGGTTATGATGTATGGTCCTGCTGCTTTTTTGGGGTGGCCATTTTAAAGGGCCCACTCCTCCTTCAGTAAGAAAGCAAGATGTGATGATTGCCATTTTAGTTGACGGACTTTTGCGCTTTTTCCTCTCACTTTTCTAGGGTAGCTGGCGTGTTAGGGCGCAAAGCGAGAGCTTAATTGAGGAGGATTGGACATGAATACGTACTATAAAGCCACTTATCTTGTCTATTTCTTTTCCATTGGCTAACTAAGCAAGTAGTACGGTGGGACCTCCGTCACTAATATGCATTATTAGGAGGGAGAGGTGTGGGGCACTTGGTTAAAATGTGAGGGTGTGAATGCCTGACCTTTTCTTCTCAACCACTCATTCGGATTGAATGGAGAGAGATAGAGTCATGGTTTTGGTATTGGGGCTCGCAATTAGCGGGGTGGCCCAACTGTCTGGCCACGGTCAGCGCCGCACTAAAAAATTAGGACCTAGGCTACAAATGTGGCCTGATGGTGGGGTTGTGATGGGACTGGTTAAAGTCGGCCTGGTTCGGCTAGGCCAGGGCCTCTTTGACCCAGTTAAGGCCGGGGACTAGGACTGAGCTACGGCCAAGGCTGGCCTGGCCTATTGCCTGCCCGGCCCTACTTTTGTACGTGCCCATGTTCATGATCTTTTTGATGGAGGGAATTATCATAGGGTATATATCCTTGCTAAACTCTTAAGACCAACGGGTTCAAAAATACCTTAAAAATTAGTGTCTTTTGGTAGAGAGAGAGAGAGAGAGAGGGGGAGAGAGTTGAGGATGGAGGAAAGGGAGGTTTGGAGATTTGGAGGAGTTTAAAGAGTAGTAAATTGAGTCGAGCTGTGGTGGTAGCTACATGTTGTCCACCTACATATGATATTTTTGGTTTAAGTGATTGGGCTAAGAGGTTTATGTAATTTTTTGTCGAGAAATACAATTTTATTTATTTATTTTTAATAATAATCACCTTTTATGTTTTTGACAATAAGATCACTCACAAATGGTCTTATTACAAACAATAGATATTCCAAAAATAAATAGCACATTAGTAAAATATACCTCAACTACTTGATACATTCATATAATCTAATACTGTGCTTGAGAATATAAAATAAAAGAACAAGCAAATAAAAGAAAAGATGCTGGAGATTACTTCAACCGGGCTTTTTACACCCCACACCGAATTACCACATCCAATGACACTGGATATGCGGTCTAGCTTCAATCTCGAACCGAGATAGCTGATTTCGGCCAAACTAGGTAACCACCCTTAAAATCTCTATTAAACCTTAACCCCCAAAATTAACTTAGGCTCTCTCTAATTTTTCTAACCATTAGTTTCTTCTTAGGTCTAGAGAGAAGAGAGAGTACTACCTAGGGTTTTGGAGAGAGAAAGTTAGAGAGAGAAATATAGAGGAGAGAGAGTGGGGCATGCCTCTCTAAGAGAAAGAGATGAGACAGAGATTAGGGGAGAGAGCGGTTGTGTAGAGATGAGGGGAGAGCACCTCTATTTATAATGAATACTTAGGTTAGGGTTTTTTAGGATTTTCCCATAGTTGGCCTTTTTCATGAGATTGAATCTAAACCGTTGATCAAGGTGACTTGTGGGGATCAACATTATGAAAGGTGCATAGACCATTATCCCCCTTTCTTTAAACCAAT